CTTATTGACAGCCGATTGCTTAAATCCTATCGAATGGGTAAATGGATTTCTAAAAAGAATTAAACTTCATTTTTCTAAATTGTTAAGAGTGAATTGGTTTCTTTGGATAATTGTTTTCTAATGACTTCTTGATTGATCGTCTGTGCGTGTTTAAATTATGGAACATGCCGAACGCCTCAGTAGATTAAATAGATGCATCTATGGTTCGCGCCATTCGACCCTCTGGCAGTGCACAGTTTAAATATTATTGGATCGGGGCGTACGTCCTTGGCATGATTTGCGCATGCTTGCATTGCTTGCCTTGGGATTTATAGATATTGATATTTGCTCTCCCTGACTTGAGAATATGTGTATAAATGATGAAAAAGGAAATTTTAGAAATTTCACATAAAAAGAAAGAATTGTTTACATGTTTCACCCTATTAAATTACAAATCCTGTTTATATAAATCCTCGATTCATTATATTACGGACGTATCATTATTGGACCACTAGTAAATATCGAAGTCAACCTCTCGTTTCTACTTCTTCGAGATTAGACGGGATACTCATTGGGTACATGTTGTTTTCGTACTCATACTACACTTGTTGTACATTTCTGTTGCACAGGCACATGCATCACTAGTGGCCTGGCGGGCGTAGCAGCATGGTTGACACAGAGACTTAGGTGAGTTGCACTTATCGAGACGATCGTAGCCAACAGAGCCTCCTTCAGAGTATTGTACTGTATTTTCATTTCTGTCCACTTGTATTCCAGACAGTTACTGTATTTTATTTCATTCCCTAATAAATGCTCATGCACTTGTGACACCGGGTTCTGGGATATCTATGAAAGTAGTCAGTATTTTGAAATTGTCAAAGATATCATTATTTTATCCGGTAAAAATTTATTCCTTGTTGTTTAAATGTATAAAAGAAGTGAATTTAGAAATATCTAAAACGAGAAATTGCTAGTTATTTAGTGTTGGCTTGCCTGACAATAGTGTCCGGCGCCATCACGACCCTTAGTGGATTTTGGGTCATGACAGAACTCGATTTAACTATGAATTTTGATACCAAATCAGTCCAAATCGCCTCCAATCTTCCTCAAATTTTGTATATTGACGCATCTATACGTTTTCAGTGAATCTCAACCATACACATTTAAAAAGTCCGTTTTACTTGAATTTTTGAAATCTTGTATATATATATATATATATATATATATTTGTATTTCATCACCTTAGTTTCTATTAATATAGAAGGAGATTTTTGTGTGTGTCACGACTCGGATTTCCCACTATCGGGATCGTGATAGCGCCTAACTTTTCAGAATGCTAGGCAAGCCAACCGATAAAGAATTAATACTCTAACACTATCCAAATCAGTAAATAATAATAATTAAACCAAAACAGAGTAAAGAAGTGCGGAAGTTCATAATAATCCAAGTATTAATACACGACTATCCAAAATCTGGTGTTACAATACACAAACTTCTAAGAGTCACTACAAATACTGGCTGAAAAAAAATACAAATGTTCTCGAATTAAAAGAAAATAGGAAAACTAGGATAACTGAAAGAGGACTCCAGGGTCTGCAAACGCCGGCAGATCTACCTTGGGTCTCCTGTTGGACCGAAGGCAGTAACCCAACTCTGATCAACAAGGTCCAGTACCGAAAATCTGCACAGAAAATGTAGAATGCAGTATCAGCAACCTACCACATGCACTGGTAAGTGTCGAGCCTAACTTCGGTGAAGTAGTGACGAGGCTATGACAAGACACATATATAAACTTGTGCAATTAAGCAATATACAAGCATAATAATAGATAATAGAAGTTATACACAATACTAACGGGAGGGGAACAAATATGTTGAGGGGAGTACAAGATCATGAGAATAGAACAGTAAAAAAACACACCAAAACAAGTGCACGGCATCACCCTTCGTGCTTTTACTCTCGTCCTCACCATAACAAATGAAATGAATAATGATAATGAATATAAATGGCACGACATCACCCTTCGTGCTTTACACTCTTCCTCATATGATAGTAAATATGCATGGCACGACATCATCATTCGTGCTTTACACTAATCCTCACATGATAATAAATATGCAATGGCACGGCATCACCCTTCGTGCTTTATACTCTTCCTCACCCAAATAACAAAATAATATCAACGGGGCAATAAAATTATTAATAACAAGCACCATATCAATATTTAGTTTGCCAACGTCAACCTCAACTTCGAGTCAATACTCAAGAAATATCCAATTCCAGTAAAACATGATAAGAATTGTTCAACATGAAGAATAACTAGTTTAAGCATGAACAATACGAATAAGGAATACAACAATCATAAGAATAAGACTCACTTGCATGCTATGACCCGACAACAACGTATATGTACTCGTCACCTCACCTATACGTCGGACTCAACAACCAAACACATAGGAAATAGACAAACAATGCCTAATCCTTCAAGCTAAGGTTAGCCATAATACTTACCTCACTACCGCGGCCAAACTCAAAGCTCAAACGCCGCTTTTTCTCTAGATTTCACCTCCAATCCACTTGTATCTAGTCATAATTAACTTAATAACATCAATTATCACTAAAAAAATTAATTCTAATGCATAATTATAAGTTTTCCAACATTTTGCCCAAAAAGTCAAAAATCGAACCCGGGCCCGCTTGGTCAAAACTCGAGGTTCAGACCAAAACCCATTCACCCCCCGAGCTCAAATATGTAATTAGTTTAGGAATCCGACCCCAATTAGAGGTCTTTTAATTATACAAAAATTCCTAATTCTACCCAAACCCCTAATTTCACCATGAAAACCCTAGATTTTAGGTTGAAAATTGCTGAAATATAATGGGTAATTGGAAGAAAGTAGTTTAAAATCATTTATCAACACTCTTGGGAAGAAGTTGTCTCTTGAAAATCGTCTCTGAGTCTTCTAGTTTTTGAAAATATGAGAGAATAGTCTAATCCCATTTTTGGTTCTGTTTTTAAAATACTGGACAAGCCTTACTTGTCGCATTCGTGAAGCTCTAGCCCTATTGGCCTACGCGTTTGCGAAGGCATATCCTCACAGCCTTCGCGTTCGCGGGCCAAGTGCCGCATTTGCGATGAGTTAATTTCCCCTCCCTCAGGTCCCATGCTTTGCGTTCGCGATAGACAGGTCGCGTTCACGAAGGGTAAAGCCCCCGCTGCTTCGCGTTCGCGAAGAAGAATTCCCCCCTGCCCTATTTTTACCTTTCCCGTTCGCGATACTACCTACACGAACGCGAAGAAGGGCATATCAGGACAACTGCTGCATCAAAATACCAGATTTTTCCAAGTCTAAAACATACCGTAGCCTATCCGAAACTCACGCGAGCCCTCGGGGCTCCAAACCAAACATGCACACAAGTCTTAAAACATCCTACGAAGTTGCTCGCGCGATCAAATCGCCAAAATAACACCTAAAACTACGAATTTAGCACCAAATATCATGAATTTTTTCAAGAAAGTTCAAACTTATATTTTCTCAACCAAAGGTCCGAATCACGTCAAATCAATCCCGTTTCTCACCAAATTTCATAGATGAGGTATAAATATCATAACGGACCTGTACCAGACTCCGGAGCCACAATATGAACTCGGTATCAACAAGATCAATTATTAACCAAATTCTTAAAACCTTTATTATTCCAGTTTAACAATTTTCATCAAAAATTCATTTCTCGCGTTAGGGACCTCGGAATTCGATTCAAGAGATACGCCCAGATCCCATATTTTACTACGGACCACCGGGACCGTCAGAATAGGGCCCTGGTCCGTTTACAAAAAACGTTGACCGAAGTCAAAAATTAACTTTTTAGGCCAAAAATTATTTTTCCCTTAATTTTCACATAAAAGCTTTTCAATATACACCCAGATTATGCACGCAAATCGAGAAGAGATAAAATGAGATTCTTAAGGCCTCGGAACACGGAGTCGAGTTCTAAAACAGAAGATGACCTTTAGGGTCATCACAATGTGTGATTCTTGGAGAGAAAAAATCTTATTTCTTTGGGTTTTCAATTTTTATATGTGTTTGACTAGTTTTGGTAATTCTATGATTGATTGTTAGAGGTTGGCAAGTTGGGACTTTTTTGGGATAGTTCTGTAAGATTCCCAAAGAAATGCTAAGTGACGTTTTTATGTGTGCAAATTTTGGTGGACAGAATTAATTTAAGATACATGCAAGTTGGTCCAAACATCATGTTAATTAAAACAAATATTGGATGGAACGCAATTTTTTGAAAAGAATAAGTAATTCTATTGAAATTTGGTCATTGGCATTCAAGTTTCAAAGCTGATCATGGAAAAGTGCCAAAAAGCATTCTTGATCCTATTTGGGCACTATTCCAATTTCATGATTGAAGGTGTTCCTATTATCCTATAGACTAAAGAGAAGGAGAAGGATATAAATAGCCAATTGAATTTATATTTATAGTATTTTATAAGTAAATGGCTGATATTGATAGCATTTTATGAGGGAGAAGCATTTTGCTTTGGAAGGCAAAATCAAATAGTTTTCTCTAAGCAAAGAAAAAGGAGAATTGAAGACCTCTGAATTCGGTTAAAACTTAGTGGGCTTTTGCTCATAAGAATTGCAAAATTTCGAAAGAAAAGTGATAGTGAAAATGATATTTGAAAATTAGAGTTGTGTTTGGACATGAATACAATTTGTAGCTATTTTTCAATTTTTGCGAGTGATTTGAAATGAAAATTTTAAAAAATAGCTTTTTAAAGTTTTTTAAATTTTCAAAATTCAATTTTAAAGTGAAATTTTAAATTTTTATGGCCAAACACCGATTTTAAAAAAAATAGTAATATTTTTATGGCTAAACGGGACCTTACATCTGCAGGTAAGTATAATAAAATACTAAAAATGAAAAAGAATTTAATTTCCACCCTCCTAAAAATCATAGCTGAAATAATTTGGTGGGTGTACATTAGTTAAACTACCAGCCCTAAACATGGAGGGAAAAGTGGAAATAAACCAATTTTCACACACACCTCAACACAAAAACCTTTGTTTGTTTTTTTGGTCGATTATTATGCCTCCACCCTCATACCTCACTAAACTCCTCGTCCCTTTCCCTCGTGTGTATCGTCTCTTGCTATTTCCTTGTTAAATCTCATCAATTTCGCCGCCCATTTTTACCTACAAAACCCCCTCTTTTCACTCTCCAAATTCATATAAATCACAATTTTTTTTATTTGATTCATTTGTTGATTGGCAATGGCTTCTTTCACTGTTCAATGTCCTAAGATTTCTGCTATATTGAATGCTTCATCACAGCCCAACACCACTCATAATCAGCCACAAGCTTCTGTTTCCTTTCGATCTGATTTGAGATCCACCCCTACATTGTTCCCTAGACTCCAGGTTATTTTCTTTCTTTTTGCTGCTCAAAGATTGAATTTTTAAATGATTTGTGTTGAATGCATTTTGATTTTGAATGTGGGTTTTGTTTCAGGGGTCTACTCGACTCCAATCTGAAGTGTTTAAGGTGTGTGCCCAGCTGAATGAGGTAATTTACTTCTCTCTTCTTTTAAATACAGTGTGGGGGGAGAATGGCCTATACCCTATACCTTGTTCTACGGGATAAATTCACTTAATTTTTGTTATATTGCACCAAAATCACTAATCTATTTTTCGTAACAAAAAAATTACTCGATTTTGCTTAAGTATTACAAAAAGTCTAATATAATTTTTATTAGTAAGAAAAAATTCACTCAATTTTGCTCAAGTATAGCAAAAGTCACTAAACAATTTTTTTTCCTTTCAAAAAGGTTATTCAACTTTGTCCAAGTATCATATAAAATGTCTCCTTTATTTCCTCCTAATGACTTTCTAAGATACTTAAGCAAAATTGAGTGATTTTTTGGTTATAAAAAATAATTATAGCTATTTTCGTGATACTTTGGTAAAGTTGAGTGATTTTTTTGTTACGAAATAATTTAATGACTTTAGTGCAGTAAAGGGAAAGTTTAGTAATCATTCATGAATTAGTCTCTTGCTCTACTACTGCGCCAAGGCTTGCCATAGATGATAGTTTACGTTTGCCTGTTAAAATCTTGAACTTCAACAAAGAGGAAATGTTGGTCTGAATAAATTTATTTTGATTGTGCAATTTTAAGGTTGTTATCCTTGAGAAGTCTACCAATTCAAAACCAGTTTCTGAAAAAAATGAAGAGGAAGTTCCAAAACCTGAGCCCTCAACTGCAGATGCTTCATCCATTCAAGAATTCATGTCTCAAGCTGCCCATCTCGTTAAGTGCGTTGAACTCTTGTCATGAATATTGTTCATTTGTTTTTTGTGTATGTGGTAGAATTCATTTTTTTCCATTTATTTGTATTCTTGTGTTTAGGCTTGTGGATTCGAGGGACATCGTGGAGCTGCAGCTAAAGCAGAATGACTGTGAAATCGTCATAAGGAAGAAGGAAGCAATGCCCCAACCACCCATTGCAGCGGCTCCCTATGTTATGGCGCCCCCTTCTTTTTCACATGCACCACAATTGCCTCCTGTGAGTGCCCCTGCCCCTGCCGCTGCATCTCCAGCATCTTCTGCACCTGCACCTTCAAAGCCTAAGTCATCGCATCCTCCACTCAAATGTCCCATGGCTGGGACATTTTATCGTTCTCCAGGTCCAGGGGCCCCACCTTTTGTAAAGGTAAATACACACAATGCTTTCACCTATCTCTAATGGTCACGATGAAGTATGCTATATGTATCTTCGTGGCGTGGTTAATGAATTAGCAAGTAGATAAAAGGACTAACAACTCCAAAGCTAGTAAAATTGCGATGTCTTCTTAAAGTTTGGGTCATAGTAGATTTGTCAAATCAGGATCCTTGTACCTTCTTTGTGTGGATAGATGTTGCACATTTTGGCGCTCAGAAACTGGGAGAAAATTGAAACTTAAATGGATCCTACTGATTGACTCTTACTCGATGTCTTATTTCTTTTCGGGTAAATTGAATGTAAATGGTCTACTTTCAGTAATATTACCCCTTTTCTGTCCCTTATTACAATCTCAGCAGCAGGGGGGGAGGGGTGTGTGTGTGTGTGTGTGTGTGTTGGTTCCTGGTACATGTGTAGTGTTCCATTATTGATAGGCAATAGAACCTCCTTGAAATTGTCAGGAAAGACAAATGAAATGAGGAAATTAGAAGAAAAGTCTATTTGTTTTCCCTTAAATATTGTTTTCCCTGAATTACAATTTTACTTGTTTGAATATGTCACAAAACCAGGCAACCAACCAATTAAGGGGAAATTCATGCTAATATCTCTCATACTTTTGTGGTAGCCTGCTCATTTACCTTTTTACTTTCTATGTTCTTGCCTTCTTGGTCATGCAGTTGTCTCATAAACCTGACTAAACTGATAATTCCCCAGGTAGGAGACAAGGTCCAGAAGGGACAAGTAATTTGTATCATTGAGGCGATGAAATTGATGAATGAGATTGAGGTTAGTTCAGGCTCAATATTCAACCTTAATACTTTCCATGTAATATTGTTTTTTAAAGGTGCCCTTAAAATATATCAGTATTTTGCATTTTGATGTTTACCTGTAAAAGGCCCATAATTATAAGTTGTCGAATTTTAATGTCTGGAATTTAAAGTAAAATTGAATTGTCTTATGAAATTCTTATGAGTTATGTGCAGTGAAGTTGCTTGGGCCGCTCTTTTGTAACTGAGACTATCACAATACATACGAGATTTTTAAATTCCTTTTCCATGCCTTCCTCTCATCATATCTTCTGAATTCCTTTATTAGGCTGATCAATCTGGAACTGTAGTGGAGGTAGTAGCAGAGGACGGTAAGCCTGTTAGTGTGGACACGGTACGTATAGCTCTCTCTCTCTCTCTCTCTCTCTCTCTCTCTCGGTTTGTATACATATAATTAGCTTAGAACTTGGCATAGCCGTAGATATTGTATCTGATTTCCTATCTTTTCTTGCAGCCGCTGTTCATCATTGAACCATGAGGAAGAGGGTGCAGCCTTGTTATCTGCTGTTAACATAGGTGGAGTCAAATATTGAGATATTTAAGTGTAGTTCAGCTGTACCGTCATATTTATAGATTGTATTTGGAGTTCAACTTGTTCTGCTCAACTTAATTATAATATCCTTATCCAAGTTATTTCAAAGATGTTGCCCGTGTGGACTCTGTTTCTGCTTAAGATTTTAGATGACCATGTACAGGAGAGAGTTTTATTTATAAGTTGATGCAACTGAAAGCAATTCTCTTGTTTAGTGTAAATGTGTTATGATCATAACAATTTGTCTGAGTTTTATTTTGTTTCCGTTTGTTGGTTTGAGATCCCCTAATGCTTAAGAGATGATAGTAAAATGAGGTGTGAAAGCTAGTCCTCTTTGCTGCTCTCACGGGGAAGATATGGTTGTTGATGTTTTACCTCACTTTTGAGTTTTTAACACACGTTTCTATCATGCCCATTAATTTTTTCTTTAAGGGTGTATATGATACGACGGAAGTTATTTTTCATAAAAATTATATATCATTCCGAGAAAATATTTTTTGATGTTTGGTTGGGGAATGAAAATATTATATAATATACTCTCTCCGGTCCATAATAAGTGACTTTGGCCTTTGACACACCCTTTAAGAAAATATTAACTCATAGACAAAGAAAGGTATTTTGATTAAATTACCCTTAATTAAAATCTGCATATTGTTAACTTCACACATTGAGATATGTACATAAGGGCAAATTTTGGATAAATAAAGTTATTTCTTCTTGATTACCCCCTCCGGTCCACAATAAGTGACCAATTTGCTTTTTTATTTTGGTCCAAAATAAGTGTCCATTTATATAATCAAGAAAAAAAATCAATTTATTTTTCCAAAATTACTCTTATGTACATATCCCTAAAAAGTCATTTAGAGAAGAGAAGCAAGTGCTACTATAACTATGGTGCAACATTTAATGAAGGGTAGTTTAGTCACACCAACTATTTTTGTCTAGAATTTAATATTTCCTTAATGAGTGTGCCCAAAGCAAATTGGTCACTTATTATGGACCGGAGGGAGCATGTAGAAAGATACTTATTTTGGACTAAAATAAAAAGACCAAAAAGCCACTTATTATACGGGAGATAATATAAGTAAATTGGCATTATTTTGATGAAACTCTTGATTATTGAAGAGTAATAATTATGTCTAAGTGTTAGTTGAAATATGAAGTTAAAAGTTAAAAATGACTCTACCCAAAATAAGACCATGATACAAGTAAACACCCAAGTTTTTACCAAAACTCTAAACAAAAAAAATTCTCCTCCTAGTTCATCCTAAGATAAGCACACATTCTGTAAATAGAATTTGAAAAGGTCAATTCATGTTTTTATTATGAGTGAATGACGTTGATAGAACTCAAGTAGTCATAGAACTCCAAAAGCTCCTTCCCTTTCTTTTTGTTAATAACTATAAAAGTGGGACAATTCTTCAACGCAGACAAGAACAAAACAAATTTTCATTTGTAATGGCAACTGAAAATGATGATTTGATCACAGAATTTCCCCCTGGCTACAGATTTGTGCCCACTGATGAGGAATTGGTTAAATATTACCTTGAAAATAAGGTACATTATCAACCTTTTCCAGCTCTATTCATTGAAGACATTCATGCTAAGGAATTTTACAGCAAATCTCCTGAAGCTCTTGGTAATTAATTCCTTTAGCTTAGACCCTTTATATAATGTGTATGAATATTAAAATTTCTAACCAAAAGAGTCATGGCATTTTGAAACCATAAAATTAAATATCTTTTTGACATGTCACTCAATATATCCTTCTTCCTCTCTTTTTTTTTCTTCATTCTCTCCCCTCATTCAATTTAATTAAACGCCTTCATTATGAAGCTATGTAGATGATGAGCTTGCATTCCTTTTCTTATACAATCATTCCTATATAACAATCATTCTCTATAAAACTCAAGTTCTTCTTGGAACCAATTTTTATAATATATGTCTTCTATAACAACACTTCTCTATATAAAAATAGCATAGGTAAACTAGTTTTCGGACTGGTCATTCAAAAATAGCCAGCGTTTGCAAAGTCATTGAAAAATAGTCACTATTTTGCTGCAATACGGAGAAAGTTCCAGCATAATATACTGGAGATTGGAGCACCTGTGTATACTATACTGGAACTCTACTGGAATTTCAGTATATTATACTGGAGTATTTTCCGGATTTTGAACAGTATATTCGTTCAGATTTATTTTTACATGAAAAGTGGCTAAATTTCAATTACTTTTGAAACTGTGGCTATTTTGAATGACCACTTGTAAATTTGGCTATTTTTGAATTTTCTCACTTCCCTATAGCAGCCAAAAAATATTGAAACAAATGAAACTGTTATAAAGAGGTTTAACTTTAATCAAATTAAACAGTAGTATTAAATTTTGTTATATTTAGTATAACAATTAAACACAATATTTCAAGGAAAGAATAAGTCACGTCGCGGAAGAAAAGAATAATTAAATTGAGCTTACTATTTAGTTTTCAATACAAATTTGTGTATGGAAAAAATAAACTTTGTCGTTGACATTTTATTTTTTTACAGTGGAAAATATGTGCAGCGCAGGAGAATGGTACTTCTTCATCCATCAAGATGAGTATTTTCGAGGAAAAATTGGAAAATTTCAGATTGTTGGAAATGAAATAGGTTTATGGCAATGCTTTGGAAAAGAATTTCCAATTTATAATTCAGAAGGAGATGTGGTTGGGTTCAAAGTTAATTTGAAGTATTGTTCTAGATCGGCTAAGAAAAATACTTGGATAATGGAAAAATATCGTCTAAGTTTTGAATGTGCCATTGATGATGAAGAGGTAACTAGTACATTAATTTCTTTGCATTTTCTTAATTTTAAACGAAAATTTAAAATTGTTTTCATTTTTTACGATAAATATTTTTGAATCTTAAAGTTTCCACATTGCGGAATTGTTCATATTTCATAAATGATTTTTACCTTTTCCAAATAGAGCCCGTATTGTAATTTATCATTTATGGGAAAGTAGTTGAAATGGATGTGCCGGCTATATAGCTAGGGGTGTACAAAAGAAATCGACAAACTGCACCAACCCGATAATCCGAGTCAAACCGAGAAAAAAAATATGACTATGGTTTCGTTTGATTTGGTTTGGTGTTGGAAAAAAAACCCCGACCATAATTGGTTTGGTTTGGTTTTAACTAAAAAAAGTCAAACAGAAACCAAACCAACCCGACATTACATATATAGAAATTTTAGATATATTTAATATATAAATATAATTATTATGATGTGATTTATAAATATTTTTTAAACATTTTTATCATTTTATCTTTTAAAGTATTATTTTCAAGGTTGGACTTAGAACTTTTGAATGCTCCAATAAGTTTTATAACCATTAATATTAGTAACTTAAATAATACTATCAAAAGCCCAAACCAAAATTAAATCAATACTAATGCTAACAAAATACATTCAATTCAATACTAGGAACGACAATGTATTGAATATCTATTTTTTATTTTGCAATGATATAGATAAAAATACATAAACTATTTTTATTTTTTCTGTAGCGTTTAGTCATGTAATTAATACTCCCTTATAAGTCTACTTATTTTAGCATGATTTAGTACTTTTAGATTATGTTTATTTTTATTATGGCTTTTTAATTAGCATTATTTATATTACATAATTCTATTGTCTTTATTGTTGAATATTAGGATAATAACATGACACATCTCATAATTTTGTATTATTTTCTTGGAAAATACCATATAATTGTATCTTATTAGGATTAAAGAAATATTTTGAGCATAAGTTATATGTTTTGTGTTACGAAGATTTTACCGGAAAAAACTCGAATAACCCAAAAATCCGAGAAAAACCGAGATCGAAAAACCTGAGTTTCATTGGTTTGGTTTGGTCTTTAAATTTAATAACCCGACACAATTGGTTTGGCTTGGTAATTGCAAAATTCGAACCAGCCCGACCTATGTACACCCCTAGTGCGGGCACACTAGGTTGGATAAGATTAGGAATGAAGATATTCGGGAGAAGGTGGGCATGACTCCCATGGACGATGACAAGATGCGGGAAGCGAGGCTTAGATGGTTCGGACATGTGTGAAGGAAAAACCTAGATGCCCCGGTTAGGAGGTGTGAGCAATTGGCATTGGCAGGTACGAGGAGAGACAGAGGGCAGCCTAAGAAGTATTGAGGTGGGATGATCAGTCAGGACATGATGCGACTTCGATTTCCGAGGACATGGCTCTTGATAGGAAGGTGTGGAGACCGAGCATTAGGGTTGTAGGTTAGGAGGGAAGCGAACGTTTTTCTACTTTGTACCGGGGCGAGCTAGGCTGATAATGTTTCACCTTGGGTTGTTAGTGGTTTATGTAGGGTTATAGCATTATTATTGGTTATTATTATTGCTTTTCTATTTATTTTTTGTCTCTTACAACGTTGATATTATTTTTCTAGCTTTCGTTGATGTCACTGATCTATTGTTTATTTTCTTCTTGAGGTCTTTTGGTAACAACCTCTTTACTCTTCTGGGGCAGGGGAATGGTCTGCGTACACTCTACCTTCTTTGACTCCACTTGTGGGATTTACTGGGTTGTTGTTGTTGTTATTGGTTGAAATGCTATATATTGTTGAAAATTATTAATTAGTTTTTGCATATACGTACATTCACAATTAATAAACATTATTGGGAAGCTTATTATAATAATTAGGTGGATTTGTATATGGCTTCTTTGTTAAATTTGAGACAAAGTGACTGTAATATTGCCAAACTAGAATGAAGATATCTTGCATTTGTCTCTTTATTGTATTATCAAATTATTTATTTTCTGAAATAACCTCTTTTCAAATTTTTTGATACAGATAGAAGAATGGGTTCTTGGAAGAATAATAAGAGGACAAAAGAAAGATTACACCAATTATTACTAGCACTTTTGGTTTTTCAGGACGAGAGATGTGGAAGTCGACATTCTTTATTTTACATCATTCTTTGTTGATTCTTCATAATAATAATGTAACTAAGCCAAGTTTTTGTTTGTTTTTCTTGTATCAATAACTTGGCTAGAATAGAGATGATACTAAATAATTGTTTTCAATTTTTCCACGAAATGATGTTACCAATAAAATTCATGATTTATTGCAATTACATCTCTACATACTTGTTTCTATTTTTTTCCTTTTCTTTCTCCTTTTAGTTTTTTCTTTATGGGTTTTAACCACATTACATTACAGCCATATGCCAATAACTTGAGTAAATGTTAAATTGTTATTTTACAAGACAACTTAATTTTCCACACTGATGTGAGTAAGTTTTTACCATTTAGTAAACCTGACATGTTATCAATTTTTTTTGGTTTCTCACCCGGTGTCCGGTACCTGCATTGGAGCCCGATTATATCCGGATTCGCACCGCGTAGGGCCCCATTCGGGGGAAAGCGCTCCCTACCAAAGATTTTCCATACCCAAGAATCGAACTCGAGACCTCTGATTAAGGGAAGAGCAGTCCTACCCACTGCACCACATCTTTGGTGGATTCATGATCAATTGATATATGCAAAGATGACTCTTCTTGAATGTAGTTTCTTAAATATCTTTTCTTGAAGTTTCTTTCTAGAATTGCTCGTACATTTACTTTCCTTCATTGTGAGGATATAATATATCATAAAATTTATTTATTTTATATTGGCTGTCAACCCTATTGTAACCCTCCTTCTTTATACGAGTTTGGACCGGCAATGTAATCAAGTTAATACCGAAGAAGTTAGTGACTCTAACTTATCCGAGACTGAGGCATTGCAGCATTGATTGTTGTTTTGCTTAATATATTTTGCTTCCTATTCTCTTAGGTTAATAAACTTGTTCTTCCTCAAGTTGTATAGTCCAATAAAAACAAACAAAGATAAATTCATTATTCGTATATTTTGAGTAGATGTTGTCATTTGAGGTAATTTGTGTATGGCTTGAATTACCGTATGAACCAAGAGACGGACTCTATATCTCAAGAATTAGTTCCTACAATCACTAGTGAAGATCCTAGTTGAACAAAAGTCATTATCTAATTTTGATGCAAAAGAGAAACGTTAAAGATTTATGTAAAGTAAACGAAATTATAATGCAGTAATTAAAATGAAAAGCGATTAAGGAACTTAAAACGCTAGTAAATTGAATGTGAATGTTGTATCTCTCTACTATCACAATATATACCATTGTTGGATATCAAACAAGTCATTAGGCTGCCTTAGACGTTTTTGGTCATGTTACCCTTAACCTCTATGGCATATTAGCATGATTTGGTATAAACATCGAGTGTAGGTAAGTATTTTTCGACTATCAGTATCTTGCATGTTTGTAACGAGAAGTTATGAAAGTAGTTGGCAACTTAGTTAATCTGCTATTCTTTTGCATTTTAGGGACCGTATCGGTTAAGTAACATTATCTTTGGTCAGCAAATTCTTATCAATACCTTGATTTGAAGAGTTTGTAGCTAACTATAGTAAATACATATATCCTCTTGCCATGGTGATTTGGACTTAAACAACCCCTTACCTGTGATTAGTTGGACTTCTAAGTCACCTCTGAGTAGGAGCGGCAAACGGGCGGGGCGGGCGGATATGGTTCGGGTTAAAACGGGTAATGAAAAAATTAATAAATTATCCGAACCGACCCATATTTAATACGGATAAAAACGGGTTAACCGACGGATAATCCATGACTTCTTGCATATGATCACTTTTGGAAGAATTCTTAGTCTCCCTAACTTAAGGAACCCCCAATTTGAGGCTTGACAAATGTAAAAGTTAGACCCATTGGCTATCCATTGACTAAATGGATAATATAGTTCTTATCCATATGTGACCCGTTTTTAAATGGGACTTTTTCCTAACTATACCATATATGAAACCTTATTACCAAATATGTGCATACTATGTAAATTATCCGCCCAGTCCACAGTTTTCCTACAATTTTTGTACCATTTATTTAATACACGATTAATTGGGCAAAATCTTCCATAATTAATGCGCTAAAAATCAGGAAAAAATCTTGCGATTGATTGAGTCTACATTAAATTCAAGTTTTGAAACGGAAAGGAGATTTTTGTTCTTCATCTTCATCTTCATCTGTTCTTCCATATATTTTCCACCCTTGATAGCCATTAAAAAAGCTTGAAAGCTTTGAATTCAAATTTGAGTTTTCAAAAATCATTATTTGTTTAGATTGGGTGTTGTTGAAAATAATCGGGAATATGGTTTGAAGTTTATATCTCAATTTTGAGGGGTTTTGGTGAAGATTAGACTTGGTTTTGACTGAATTACAGATTGAAACTCGAAGAAGAAGACATATTGCAGAAATTGTAGATAAATTGTAGCTAAATTGTAGATTATTTGTATTCTGATTGTAGATGTTTTATTTTCTGTTTTCATAAATAAAAAACTGCTAAAACTTCTACAAATCTTCTGAAAAATGCAATTATGTCAAAAATCACAATTATGCTACAATTGGATGGGAATTGGGATATAAAA